CAACCGCCGCACGGAAATCAGGTTTGCAGCAAGGCTGGGCACCCAAAGCACGTTCTTGAGGCCCACCATCTTCCCATCAGCACCCTTGAACATGGCCTTGCCCATGCCTTTCACCTCTGCTCGCTGCCCCAAAGCCGATGTGACATGCTTCACCGGTGACGGCTCGAGTTCGGTGAGCAAGTCCGGGCGAGGTGTCATGCTATAGGTAGCGCCACTATCAATCACCCAATAGTCCAGGGGGTGTAGGGTCACCTTCCCCACAGCTGCTGGCTCCTCAAAGCCTTCATCCTTCTCTGGACCAGCCGGTACTTGCGTCGACACGAAGTAGAATAGACCCGGGTATCGATCGTCGCTCGGGTCCTTGTCGTTGTCTCCGCTCTTCATGTTTGCAGCTCCGCCACCGCGACCGCCACGGCCTCCACGGCCTCGTCCTCTCCCTCCTCCTGCTCCTCTACCCTCTTGGCCTTGAGCAGGGGTCCAACCATCAGGGAGTTTGTAGCAGTCGCGCCACATGTGTCCGCTCTTGTGGCAATAGTGACACTCGCCGTCGAATCGGCCGCGACCGCGTCCGTAGCTCTTGTCGTCGCTGCCGTAACCGCCACTCCTGCGGCCTCCGCCGAAGTTGCTGCCACCAAACCTTCCTCCCCCTCGTCCTCTGCCTCTTCCTCGACCATATCCACGGCCGATGCTCGCTGCCCCAGCGCCATCCGCACTCGCCAACTCACGGCGGCGGAAATCCTCTTGAAGGATAGCTCGCTTCACGTCTTCAAGCGAGAGGCGGGGCAAGTCGCGATTAGGGTTGATGATGAGCGAGGACCATGACTCTGGGAGTAAGGCCAGCAACTTGGTCTTCTTTTGGAGCTCACTGTAGTTCAAATCAGCTCCCGCCGCTGTTGCAGGAGCATGTACACCCTTGAGAGCAGCCCATGCCTTTGGTCCCTTCTCTGGTTCACGCTGGAATGGCTTGATGTGACGGATCTGACTGCTCCCCAACGCTTGCCCAAGTAAGAGATAGCCTTGTGCGCTCTTCCGCACCCACGGGCTCTTCTCCGGGTCGTTCTCGGGGCGCTTCTCCGTTCCTTCCATCACCTCCAGCAGGTCATAGTGGTCAAAGATGTTCTCTATCTTGAAGGACCATTCAGCAAAGTTGTCACCGTTGAACTTGTCAAGCCCAAACACCCTAGGCTCATCCCTAGGTGGGCCAAGACTTGGTTGCATGGGCGCCATGGCTGAATCACGGGGTTGGCCTTGAGCTTGAGCTTCTCCACTGCCACCAGCACCTCTGCCACCCCTTTCCTCAGGTCCAGACATTGTCGAAACTGCTCCAAGGGGCTCTGATACCACTTGTTATAGTCACAATAGGCTTGAATGTGCCTAAAACGAAAGATAGAGTGCACAGACGGATTTCTGCACAGCGGCTTCAAACGTTGATAGCGTTGTGCTCACAGCTGCAAATGACTTGATTCAAATTGGATCTGGAGCGTCTTCACGTCGTCTACAATTAGCAATTTTGATTGCACGATTTGATAAAGAATTGACGACACAGCGTCGGTTTGAACAAACGGTACTATGGCAGCCACTATAGTCTTAGAACACAAGATAGGAAGAGTTACGAGTTGGGAATGACTCCCAGCTCCTACAAACCCCAAGAGCCGAGGTACAGTGATGTGTAACAGTGCCACACTGTCCCCAACCACGAAGGGTCTCGAAACTACCCTTCACTAGGGCCTACACCAAGTGAAATGTTACACTACACAAAGTAATGTAACTATCTTCAATATCTTGAGGTGTACCCTTTTTGGCGAGCTTCGAAATCACTTGAGGCTTGACACCAAGGCTCGGGCTCTTCATCACAAACTCATCCTTGAGTTCTTGATGGGTCTGCTGCACACACCTGCGACACGCCGAACGTTCGACAGAGGACAAAATAGAAACCGCGCACGACAAAATAGAAACCGCGCGCGAGACACAAACGACCGCGTAACACGCGTCTAGCGATAACTCGCTATTGACTCGACACACACACTCGACATCATGACTCAACATTCACACACAATTATAAGCATGAAATATATATTATCCCATGCCCTCATACCATTCCATACACACACACATTCACGCACACGGACAACAAGCCGAGTGCAAACCGTAGGGTTGCACCAACAACCTCCGACACGCCGAACGTTCGACAAGCGACAAAATAGAAACCGCGCACGACAAAATAGAAACCGCGCGGGACACATAAAATGACCACGTTACACGCAACTAGCGATAATTCGCTATTGACTCGACACACACACACTCGACATCATGACCCATCATTCACACACTATTATAAGCATGAAATATATATTTATTTCATGCACTCATTCCATTCCATGCACACACGCATGCACGCACACGGACAACAAGCCGAGTGCAAACCGTAGGGTTGCACCAACAGGACTTGACCTTAGAGGGAAGCAGCCAGTTACACTTACAGGTTTCTCGGACTCGTCGTGGTCTGACGACGCTGAGTCGCTACGGTCTGCACAGGGTTACTGCTTCAACCTTGGGACCGGAGCTATTTCGTGGAGGTCAGCTCGGACGTCGTCCGTCTCCAGTTCCAGCTATAATGCATTGGTGTACGCTACGGCCATGGCAGTCCAGGAGCGTCGTTTGCTGTCTTTCCTCCTTGCCAACCTCGGTAAGCGGCCTCACGCTTCCCCAGTCCTGTTCGCCGACAACAGGTCTTCTATCCTGTTGTGCGAGGAGCCCTGACTGGTTGGGGAGGCGAAGCACATCCAACTCCATTACTTCCTTCTGCGAGAGTTGCAGCAGCGTGGCCAGGCACTTGTGCGACGTGTGGTCTCGGAAGCCAACACTGTAGATATCTTCACCAAGGCGTTGCCGCCTTGTGACCACCAGCATTTCTGCACCCAGCTAGGCCTTGCGTCTACAGGCCCTCACTTGCTTGCGTAGAGATGCTTTGTCTTACTCTTGCATCTCACTATATATTATATATCTATGCTCGTGGACAGGCCTTGTGGCCCCTTGCTTCTGTAGAGATGCTTGTCACGCATGTCTTGTACTCTTGCATCTCTTATATCTGCTATGTACTTGCATGTGGACTGGCCTTGTGGCCCCTTGTTTGTTCTCGGACTGTGTGGTGATCCTGAGATCCAACCAGAGAGTTGCTTTGTTCTTGTGAACTGGTCTTGTGACCTTGGCTTGCTCTTGCTGAATGGTCCTGTGACCCTTGCTCATGGGTTGTGTGTTGCTTTCCACATGACTATTGTCACCTAAACTATTGGGGTATGTCAAACTATATTTGTTCTAGGTTATGTGTGTTAGTCTTGTCAGAGGTCCACTGGTGATCCCCGATTGATCCTAGGAAAGGGTTACAGGCACGTTGGCCTGGGGGGTTATGGGCGCACTCACCCGCTACACAAACAAGCCCTTTTATCCCAGTGGTTAGTGGCTGGGATTCTGAAAAGTCTATGTGTGTTACACTTTGCCCTACGTTTAGTTAGGGTTTCCTGTATCCATCCTTGTACTAGTTGTTTCTTATTTTTGTTCATTCGATAGATACCTTTGTGACACTGGGAAGATCAAGTTTGTGGCTGCTGCTTCATGTGCTTTGCTCCTTGTGATCGGTGTGGGGAATGCCAAGGTGATGGGAGCCAATGGGAAGCTTGTGGGGCTTGGGATGCTATGTGATGCTATCACATGCATTCACGTCTGACTGCCTCCCATCACATGTTCGTGCGTTGCATGCGTGGGGTGAGCGTGTACAAGAATCTGTGTTTGATGTGGTTTGGTATTTCTGAGTGTGTGTAAATGTTATTTGACTTGAGCAAAAATCTGAAGTGACTTCTCTGCTCAAGAGCTTTCCGACGAACCAAGTATCGCTTCAATCGGAGCACGAACAAGAAAGTTAACGTTAGAAGTTCGTATGCTTTTGATATTAGGTCGTGGTGACTATGGGAAGTTGTGGGGTTGACTCCATAAGGGGTATAGACTTTTGGGGGTTGGGAAATTCGTCAACATCACTGTAGATGCTGCCAAGTGGTTGGGAGGAGCCAAACCAGGTTGGCAAGTGTGGCCAAGTTGGGTGAGGTGGATGGCATGGGTTGGGAAAGTGACAAAGGTCAAAGTTGGGGTGCCCATAAGGAGGGAATCTTTGTGCTTATGGGGTTTTCTTGGTTGGGGCTCCTTGGGGACCTTCCTTCTCGTCCTCCTCTTCTCTCCTACCTGGTTCAATTGCTACTCTAACTTTCTTGTGTTGAACTTCGTGAGATAAATTGTGATTGAGTTAAGATTCTATGGCAGCTTACCCCCTAGTGCGTCGAAATTCAGAACTCAAGAAATACTTCACCTTATTGTACGATTCAAATTGGGAATTGTAGCCACGGACTAGGGCTACAACATATATGAGTTTGGTGAAGTTTTAACAGTGCACCGTTTGTCGACGGCGTTTCTTGTGAACTCGACGTTTTCTGTCCAGAATTTTAAGCCAACGATTTTGAGAAATTTGGGCACCTAATCTTCGTAGACTCCAAGTCGACCAGCAGGCCTGGTCGACCAACTACCAGGTCGACCAGTAGTCCTGTCAGCTGACCACCCAAGTCGGCTGCCCCAAGTTGACGTCACCAAGTTGACGTCTTCCGCAGGTCGACTTCCCAGGTCGACCTCCCTGAAGTCGGCGCCACCCCAAAGTCGGCGCCCGTGCAGTGGCTCACCGTGCAGGTCGACCTCCTCGTCAACCAGCTCGCCCACTGCTGCAGGTCGGCTGCTCCCCTCACATCCGACCACGAAGTCGGCTCCGCCCAAGCGAGGACGGGGCCAACACACAACTCCCGTTGACAGCCTTTCTTCCCTAAAGGACGACTCTTATCGTCGGAGGAGCTGTCGTCTTCGTCTGTGTCACTGTCAGAGGGGGACAAGTTCCAATTGCTCACAGAAGAGTCCTTGCTATCCGGGGCCGCAGTAGATCTGGTGGTCGCATTTGATGGCGCAACCTAAGCGGCGCTGGAAGAACTGGGCATAATAGGAAAAGGGATGCACGCATCGCGACGAATAAGTCCCCTCTCAACTCCCAATTCTTGCTGTTGATGCATCCACACTAGGTAAGGATGGTCTAAGGGCGAGGGAACGTTGTCATCGTCGTCCACCTTTTCCTTGCCTTTCCTACTCTGCTTGCGTGGAGCCATGTCCTATAAATGGAACGGTGTGGATGCGAAATTGATTACAGCTCGAACACTTCTTATACATGCCGTTGACCATCCATATAGCAGACACCTGACCCGACGCAGCTACCTGACCAGACGCAACAACCGGAGGAGACCCAATAGTCAGTGTGTACAGGCTCGACCCCGGCCGACGGGTAAAGTGGCCAGGTGTCGGCCCGTCCGAGCACACGTGCAGTGGGTCACTCGCTGACTCGCAGGAGTGAACTGGTGAACCCCCCCATCCTGTAGATCAGCACCACTCACCAAGTTCGTAGAGATCGAGGGGAGGTAAAGACCTGAGAGGGTGTCAGAAGGGGCCGCCGGACACGGTAAGACAGTGGAGAAGTGGGCAAGGACAGGACCCCCAGAGGGGTCTGCCAGGGAGACCGCAACTGGCCGACTAAGCGGCGTGAGTGTGGTGCGGTCTCGAAAGGAGGAGTAGGAAACACCCGAGTCAAGGGTGAAGGTGTGGGAGGCCTGAGCCGACGTGGTACCTGAGAGAGCAGAGTCACTAGCACCTGGGGCAGCAGACCCACTAGCACCTAGAGCAGCAGCCTCACCAGCACTTAGAGCAGCAGCCTCACCAGCACCTAGAGCAGCAGCCTCACCAATGCCCGGGTCAGGCGGAACACACAGGTAACAGTCACCCTCATCACTAGTAGACACAGCATACATGGCAGCAAGAATAGCATCATAGTCAAGATCAAAGATAGCAACCCCCGCCCTCGACAAGTCGCCCCAGCGAGGGATCTCCGTGGCGTCAGGGAACTGGTGACGCCAAGCGTCCGTCAGGCGGCCGAAGCAGCGCTGGGTGGAGTGCGGGCCCCCGCACTGCTCACCAGCGTAGTCACCGGTACGAAGGACGTAGGTACAGGGACCAGCACCCCCACCCCGCTGACGCCCAGCGTACCACTCACGAAGCTGCTGGGGGGACGGGGTCTCACGAGTGCGCTGCTGCTGCTGGCACTAACCACCACTGGAGCCAACCCTCTGCGCAGAGCCGCGACCAGCTCGACTGCTGCTGCCACCACCTCTGCCGCCTCCGCCACCTCCGCTCCAACTGCCACCGCCGCCACCTCCTCCGCCCCCACTGCTGCCACCGACGACTTCACCCCCGCCACCACTCCCACCACCACCCCCACCCCCTCCACCGCCTCCACCGCCACCTCCACCGCCCCCGCCAGCTCCTCCAGCACCCTTGCCCCCCTTGCCCTTGCCGGTGCGGCGTCTCCCGCTAGGGGCAGACGCAGCTCCGACCGACTCGAGGCCAACGAAGTCAGCCACAGCAGCAGAGGCAACAGAGGGCAAGAGGGGGGAGGGGGAGCACCCCTCAAAGAAGGGGGTACGAGGGTCACCACGAGAGGCTCCTATAGCGACTATACTCTTCTCTGCTGCTAGGAGGCGCTCCTCGAGGAGGTCAACGGTGAGTGTGGTGGGGCAAACAGAGAGGAAGTGGTCCCTGACCGAGCGAAGGGAGTCAGGGAGCCGGGTGACTATGTAGTAGAGGGTGATGTACATAAGGGGGGGGGTTCTTGGCGCAGAACTCAGCAGAAAGCGGAGCGCGGTAGCGGGTGTCACTAGTGCGAAGGTGCGTAATGAGGTCAGCGACTGTGGGAAAGGCGGCGAGGTCAGGGAACAGGTACGGCAGCATGAAGCGGCTAAGGGCAGCAATGGCAGGGGAAGAGTAGCGGGCAATGACAGCGTCGTACAAGGTCTTAGCACTCTTGTACTGACTAAAGTGCGCGCGCTCAGTGGACGGCAAGTGACTACGCACAGCAAGACGGGCAGCAGCATCGCGTGTGGCCCACTGTGAGCGAACAGTGCTGTCAGCATCGGCAGCAGGGGCAGGGGAGGCGCCAGACGTGAGATCGAACAGTGAGAGACCGTCTTTCCTATCGCACTGTAGGAAAAGCTGCAGATCGTCGACCCAGACCTCAAAGTCAACAGCCCGACCCTCAGCATCAAAGACGAGGACGCTAGGGGTAGCCATGATAGCAGCGGCAGCAGTAGCAGCAGTGGCAGCAGGAGCAGCAGTGGCAGCAGTAGAGGCGCAGCGCGGCGATGCTCTTACCAGGGCAGAGAGCCGCAAGTGGTGGGGCAGGGCCGAGGCGCACCGGCAGGGACGGGCCGAGGCGCGCAGGCAGGGCCGAGGCGCGCCGGTAGGGGCGGGCCTAGGCGCGCCGGCAGGGACGGGCCGAGGCGCGTCGGCCGGACCGAGGCGCGCCGGCGGCTGCAGTCAGCGGCTGCGGCGGTTGCGGCCCCGGCTGAGGTGGCGGCGGCTGCTGCTGGTGGCTGCTGTGGTTGCTGCGGCGGCTGCGGCCCCGAGAAAGACGGCGGCGGCCGCTGCTGTCGGCGGCACCGGCGGTGGCGGCTTCCGCGGCAGGGGTGGCGGCGGCTGCTGCTGCAGGGGCGGCTACGGGGCCGGGAAGGGCGGCGACGGGGCCGAGACGGGGCCGCGAGGGGCCGCGAAGGGCGGCGACGGGGCCGGGAAGGGCGGCGACAGGGCCGCGGAGGGCAGCGACGGGGCCGGGAAGGGGCCGCGACGGGCCGCGAAGGGGGCCGTAGGGGGCCGCGAAGGGCCGTGAGAGGGGCCGCTAAGGGCGGTGCGAAGGGGCCGCGAGGGGCCGTGAGAAGGGCCGCGAGGGGCCTTAAGAGGGCGCGACGGGCCGCTAAGGGCTAGGGGCGCGAATCGGGCAGGAGCGAAGCGCGCTCCGGGCAGGAAAAAAAAAAAAAAAAGTCGATCGGGGTGGGCCCTAGGAAGCGTTCCCACTAGGGAACCTGCTCTATACCATGTGAAGAAATGAGGAATGAATGATGAACTAGGAAATGAGTTGGGTACAAATATGAAACCCTAGAAAGCTGTACCCCATACTGTCTACCCCACTACAGCCTAGAAAGACTACAGCATATAATTTGACATGTGAATGGTAGGTTCGAGACCCTTCTTGGTTGGGGACAGTGTGGCTCTGTTCCACATCACTGTACCTCGGCTCTTGGGGTTTGTAGGAGCTGAGAGTCATTCGGAACTCGTAACTCTTCCTAATTTGTGTTCTAAGACTATAGTGGCTGCCATAGTGTCGTTCGTTCAAACCGACATTGCGTCATTAATACTTGATAAATTGTGTGATTTAAATTGCCTATTGTAGGCGATATCTAGACGCTCCAGATCCAATTCATAGCAAGTCATTTGAAGGTGTGACCAGAATGCTATCAACGTTTGAAGCCGCTGTGCAGAAATCCGACTGTGCAGAAATCCGACTGTGCACTCTATCTTTCGTATTAGGCACATTCAAGCCTATTGTGACTATAACAGAAGGGGCCGCGAAGGGGCCGCGAAGGGGCCGCGTAGGGGCCGCGACGGGGCCGCAGGAGCAGGGCAGGCCGCTAAGGGGCCGGGAAAGGGTAGGGCAGGGCAGAGCGCGAAGCGCGCTTTGGGCAGGTTAGGAAAAAAAAAAAAAAATGGTGGGCCCTTAGGAAGAAATGGTCCCACTAGGGAACCCGCTCTATACCATATGAAACCCTGGAAAACTGTACCCCTTAGTGTCTACCCCACTACAGCCTAAATAGGCTATATGATAAATGTTTGACACAATGTGCCTATACGAAAGATAGAGTGCAAGTCGGATTTCTGCACAGCCAATTTACACGTTCATAGCGTTCTGGTAATAGCTTCAAATGACCTGATTCAACTTGGATCTGGAGCGTCGTAAAGTCGCCTACAATAGGAATTTTTGATCGCACGATTTCACCAAGTATTGACGACACAGCGTCGGTTTGAACAAACGGCACTATAGCAGCCACTATGGTCTTAGAACACAAGATAGAAAGAGTTAGGAAGAGTTACAGCTCCTACAAACCCCAAGAGCCAAGGTACAGTGATGTGGAACAGTGCCACACTGTCCTCAACCAAGAAGGATCTCGAAACTACCCTTCACTAAAACCTACACCAAGTGAAATGTTACACTACACAAAGTAATGTAACTATCTTCAATATCATGAGGTGTACCCTTTTCGCGGGCTTCGCGATCACTTGAATCTTGACACCAAGTCTCTGTTTCTTCACCACAAACTCATCCTTGGGTTCTTGATGGGTCTGCTGCACACACCTGCGACACGCCGAACGTTCCACACACACGACAAAATAGAAACCGTGCACGAGACACACGACAAAATAGAAATCGCGCACGGGACACAAACGACCGCGTGACACGCGACTAGCGATAACTCGCTATTGACTCGACACACACACTCGACATGATGACTCAACATTCACACACTATTATAAGCGTGAAATATATATTATCCCATGCCCTCATACCATTCCATGCACACACGCATGCACGCACACGGACAACAAGCCGAGTGCAAACAGTAGGGTTGCACCAACATTCGCGACCCATAAAACCTTCTAGTAACACCTGGGTTACTGCCTTTGTGTCGATCCTATACATAGCCTTGTCTTGGACCCATGTGATCATATTATAATTTCTGAACCTGTTCCTTCGTCATCACACTCCTTGTGTTGAACAACATTGGTCTCAGGAGGGAGCTGACGTTGGCAGCGGCGGATCTCCCGGACGGCTTTAGACATTTCTGGGCGCACAAAGAGTTCCCGAAATAAATAAAAGGGTGCAGCGTTAGATGTCGTCAGACGTGTGACATGTTCTGTCAGAATGTTATAATTGTCTAGCCTGCAGTGGGGTACTCTATAGCGAGTACAACCTAATTAGGGTTTCCTATATGTATGCCAACTGCTGCTAGTGCAACCCCTCCTTCTTCATTCCTCATTTTCTTCACATGCTATCAGAGCATCTACGCCCCTGGCCTGTGGGCCCACCTAACTGCTTCCGCTGCTACTCTGTGAGCTACTCTTAGCGGCCCCGTCGCCGCCCTTCTCGGCCCCTCGCGGCCCCTTCGCGGCCCCGTTGCCGCCCTTCCAGGCCCCTCGCGGCCCCTTCGCGGCCCCGTCGCCGCCCCTAGCGGTCCCGTCGCCGCCCCTAGCGGTCCCGTCGCCGCCCGTAGCGGCCCCGTCGCCGCCCTTCGCGGCCACGTCGCCGCCCTTCGCGGCCCCGTCGCCGCCCCTAGCGGCCCCGTCGCCGCTCTTCGCGGCCCCGTCGCCGCCTCTAGCGGCCCCGTCGCCCTTCGCGGCCCCGTCGCCGCCTCTACCGGCCCCGTCGCCGCCCCTTAACGGCCCCGTCGCCGCCCTTTCTCAGCCCCTCGAGGCCCCTTCGCGGCCCCGTCGCCGCCCCTAGCGGCCCCGTCGCCGACCTTTCAGGCCCCTCGCGGCCCCTTCGCGGCCCCGTCGCCGCCCCTAGCGGCCCGTCGCCGCCCTTTCAGGCCCCTCGCGGCCCCTTCGCGGCCCCGTCGCCGCCCCTAGCGGCCCCGTCGCCGCTCCTAGCAGCCCCGTCGCCGCCCCTATCGGCCCCGTCGCCGTCTCCAGCGGCCCCGTCGCCGCCACTTGCGGCCCCGTCGCCGCCCCTTTCGGTCCTCCCTCGACCCTGCCCCGGCCCCGCCCCGGCCATGCTCCGTCGCCTGTCGCGGCGCACCGGGGGCCCGTGCACCGCCCCCCCCCTCTTTTCCCGTCGCCTGTCGAGGCGACCTGAGGGGGCTGCCGAGGGGCGACCTGGGGGGGGGGGCGAGCGTCGCCCCTTCTGCCGCCTGTTTTGGCGCCCTGGGAGGCCGCGCGTCGCCCCCCCCCCTCCCCCCCCCCCCCCCCCCCCCCGTAACCTCCCTACCCGCCGTCCCGCCCTGCCCTGTGTTAGGGTCTGGGGGTGGCGAGTAGGGGGTGGCGGGTGTGTGGTCTCCCCTGCTCCTCCTCCTCCTCTGTCTCC